CAAAAAGCTCCTGTAAATGGGTTCTTGAGATATTCTCCATGTTAAGAACTAAGAAACATATAGGAAATCCACAAGAATTCGTAGAGCTTAGAACAATTCTTCAATAGAAAGCATTAATTGGTCACAAAATTCTCTCTTCACAAGACTAAGTTTATTTTGCTTTACTTTTAGTGAAATAAGGGAATATCATTGCTAAAAACAAAAACAAAAAATCACATGAATGCTTAATTATTCTACATTCAACTAACAGCCATTGCTGATTCACTGCATTGCCGCATCAAGTCCCACCTCAAAATAGAGAAAAACAGTGATCCAATAGATAACCGGTTGAAGAGAAATTAATTAAGTACCACATCAAGTCCATCATCTGTATCTAATGCCTCTTCACCATTATTAACCCCAATTTCATCTTTCTCCTCTTCCTCAACATTGTTAAACAAAGCTAAAAAACACACTTTAAGTTATATATTAAGAGGAAAAAAAAAACTATTACAAGAACTGGAGAGTCGACAAATGTGGTTTTATTTTTGCACCTGCTTTGGCCTGTGGGTGTACCACTTCATCACGCATTAATTTGTCATTACTACACATCTTTTCGGACTTTTTGAAGCTTTCAGTGGCAGCTTTTAGCAAGGGCTCCTTACCAGGTTCTGGGAATACAGATATGAACCTCACTTTAACACAATCTTTCAAGTTTTCAAGCATGTTATATTAAAACCATCTTGTCTCAGACTGCAAATATATGAGCTAAATGTCACCAACCAAAACCAACGCTGGCAAATACTGAAACAAATAGAAATTGTCAACGATTAGTACCTGTAATAGTACAGTCTACTACTAACTTCATTAACGTACATATTCCTATTAAACTCTACTCTTGCAAACTATCATTCTCTTCATGTTCATTTCAGTAATTAAGACAACGTCTGCTCCTACTCAAAGTTAACAACAATTAACATGGCGTTTGTACACATCCTAGCTTTTGGGCAACCCAAACAGTCTAGTACGCTTTATTGTGGCCCAAAACATAGGGCTTGAACAATTCTGAGAAAGAATGGTGAAAAAAAAAATGAAAAATGAAAATTTTACTATGAGGATTTGGCTTGCATCATTCCTCTACCGTAGTGCTGGTTGTAAGAAAGTAAGAAGTTTGCAGATTTTCTTATTTGAAACTAAGATTTTTTATTTTTTATTTAATGAATTCAGAGAAAAAAAATGGATCTAATAATCAGTGGCAAGCTGATTGTAATTTACCTTTAATTAATTCCTACTTTCGTGATGTTGAGTTATATATTCGAATGTAAAGCCATAATAATGCCACCAAAACTTTTGATGCAGCTGAGCATACACCTCACAATAATAAATAAATAAATAAAGATTATCATCATGTTGTAATAGTTGGAGATGATGTTATGTTATGGATGAAATATCACAATACAATACTGGAATTAGCAAGAGCACAACACCACACCATCACCACGCATGTGTAATGTGTTGTGGAGGACGACTATTATTAATATTTACAAAGACAATTGTTTTATTTTTGGTTGTCCACTCCACAACTTGAATAAAATAAAATAAAATAGATCAAGCATGACACAATCCAAACTAAATAAAACACAACTCAGTACCAGATACAAGAAAACAAACAAAGGGAAAG